GAGAAGAGAAAGAGAGAAAAATAGTGAAGAAAGAAAGAAAAAAGAGAGACAGAAATAAGGGGTGGGGGAGAAAGAGACATCCAGAGAAAAAAACCCACAAGACAGACCTCCAGGAAGTGAAGACAGAAGTGCTGATAGATAGAAAGAAGGACGACAGAGACGAGAGAGAACGGATAAACTTTGCACTTCGTTGAAGAAACATCATGCCTCTGTGGTTTCTCCTCATCTAGAAAAAGAGAAACAAAATGAAAAAAAAAGGTAGAAGAAAAGACAGTCCGGATATTGAGAGGAAGAGCTCAGGCTGACGCACCATACGTGAGTCAAGTTGTCTGACCGCGTTTCCTTTGGAATTCACCTGTATTTTTTAAGGGAAAACGAAGACAGAGAAACGTGCCGAGATTTGAGAGTGCGTCTGTTATGCCAACCGCACACGCTGCTTTCAGAAAGACCCCGCAACCGAACACTCGTCGTACTCAAAGTGGTCGATGTTTCCTCCTCGACCAAACAAGTGTGAGTTCACATAGTGTGAAGACGACGCCATTTTGTCCAAGTCGAAAGCTTGAATTTGCCACAAATGACAATTGAAACCCTTATCAAAATCTGGCATTTCGAATAATTACTTCATTGCATATAAAGTGAACTGCTATTCTTTCTAGTACCTACGCACTTTTTTTCTGAACCGATCTAATTAGAATTAGTTTATATAAAACTGTCGACTTCAACGGAAGTTTCTACGCACGCCCTAGTTAAACTTAATATGTTTTCCCATCTTGAAATGAGGTTACTTGAACTGTCTTCCATTACGATCCAGTTTGTCAAGCGACTGAGGGTTATTCGGTACTCGTTTAACTCCACGAATTTTTCTCATGCTTTTCCTTAATTTCGTTTCACATTTCGCTTATTTTACGCCATTAGAAACTCAAAATTGCTGCACATTCCAATCTCATGCATGAAGCTTCAAATATGAAAATAAAGCAAGATAATAAATCCTCGTCCAGGCTGATATCCTGAGGACATTAGAAAAAGCGTCAAGCACACTCGTTCTTATTTGATAAGATACAAAGCTTTTCGTTAGTTTTTGTCTCCGTCTTTGCGGAAAACACAAAAAATGGCAACAAACAAATAATCTTATGCCAATTCGTGTATCTCCCTCACCCCCTCCCCTCCCCCTTGTTTTTTTTCACACACAGGCACATACTACAGTTACCCTCTTCCCCC